AAAGTATACAGTATGTTTATCATATAAAGTCTAATGTTACAACTAATCATGGATCCCTTTAAAGTACTACATGGTTTGTTGGTTTATTAAACATACAACATTTTTTTTAAATGGCACTTTTATTACATTTGTTTAAGTGTGACGCGCTATGTGGACTTCTGGTAATATCAACAAAAACCTGTGTGAAACGTCAAAGTGACATCCTGCAGCTTCAGAACAGGAAGGTTCTGCTGTGAAGACGCCAACAACACGTATTTGTCATGGCAGGCTAATCAAAGCTTAAATTACAACAAGGCAAATTATAAGGCCTGGTAAGGGTGGAGGATTCCCCTTTTACAAGGACTGGAAATCCCCTTTTCAATTCTTGCCGGCTGCTCATGAAAGTGAGTTTAAAATAAAGGGGTTTGCAGCTTCCTGTACAGAAGCAAAAACATCAGGCCTGACGACACCACATGTGCATGTTTACGTATTTATGAAAAGAATAAAACATTCATCTCTAACCCTCTCAGCAGCTCTCTTGGGTTCCTTCTTTCAGCTGCATTTCTAAAACAAAGAGGCTTTTTTGAGAATCGATGTTTCCCATCTGGAGAAGCTGTCAGCAGTGTGTTTATCACGCATCACACATTTTACTGAGCCGATCTGCAGTATTAAGATGGTTGTAATGAAGGAGAAGCTGTGGGCGCGTTCTATAAAAAGACTCAGTTATCATGTTCTGCATTTCTGCTAAGCCTTTGGCTGAATCTATATTTACTGAGCGATGACCTTAGTTCATGGAGAAGCAGAGTAGGTTCATGTCGGCCTACGACTGTTTCCCTTCATTCATCCTTCAGTGTAAACTGAATGTCTGCTTTCCAACTAGGGGTGTAAGAAAATATCGATACACTGAAATATCACGATATTTCATTTCCCGATACTGTATCAATATTCTAAAGCCCTGTATCAATTTTTAATTAAGGTTTAAAATGTCAACCTTCTTGCCAACCKTTCATTTTTATGTTGTAGTTCATCCTCTGACCACTAGTTGGCAGCAGTGAGCCAGTCATTTGGCTCCTCTACCTCTTGAGCGCCAGAGCGTAAGGGTAGCATTAGCATTGTAARTAAACATTAGCTTTTCTTTTTTTTTTTTTCAGTAAGAGGTTTTTATTTAATAGAATTTTTGGACAAAAAATCGCAATATATCATAATATATTGCCTTGCTTACAGCATCGCAATATATCGGGATATATCGTATCGTGACCCCTCTGTTATGATATGTATCGTATCGCCAAAATCTTGCCAATACACAGCCCTATTGCAGACTCTAAAATCGCCTCACCGATTTCCTTTCGGTCTTGAGCTCCTGCAGGTAGCGCGTCAGCTCAGTGATAATTTGAGACGTCAGGTTCTCGGCGATGACCTCGTGTTGACCTGCGTAGTCGTTCAACTCGTTGAGGGTGGTCAGGAAGGCTCGACAGAAGGTGTACCTGGTGACACACAGGAGGTGACATCAGAGGAAATGGAGAAAGTGGGTCTGCTGTAGAAAAGGAAGCGTTTGATGTTTTGGACTTTCTGAATGAAAGGACGCTAAAAAACAATGCTCCAGAAACTTCCACATTTCTATTTCTGACTAAACTACAAAGAAGACAAAGAAAATATGAATTTCGTTGTGCTGTGGCTCTTTGACAATAAAGGTTTAGATTCAATGTGATTTAAGATCAGGGTTTCCCCTACATGTGATTGATTGTGGCGCTCCGCCACGGCTAAATAAAAGCCACCACACCTTCAGGATAAAGTATTATTTTTTTTTTAAATCAGCGTAAAACAGGGGTTGACACAACCATTGTTTAGGTCAGGGGTTCTCAAACCTTTTGGGTCTAGGGACCCCTTAAAATGGTGAAAAAAAATTCCAGGGACCCCCTCATAAAGCCCATGCTGTTTTAAAAGATAATTTATTGTCATTTCAACCCCTAAATGCCATGGGAATATAAATTTTTATTTATTATGTTTGTTTTATTAGTTCATTGTTCTTCAGTGAAATTTTTTTAAGTCCCCCAAGATACCTCTCACAAACCCCAGTTTGAGAACCTCTGGTTTAGGTTGTCCGAGACAACACATTTTTGTTTCGGACAACCAGATCCCGCCTCCTGGTTGTCCACCGGACAACCAAGAAAAAAAAGACCTTGATTAGAGTTTTTCTCAGCAGGTGTTCATCATTGTAAAAATGAACGGGAGAAAAAAAACTTGTTAAAGCCATGTAGAGATTAAACTGACGGTTCTTTCACCCAATAAAGAGAACCAGAGTCAAAGTTTTACCCAATCAGAAGAGAGCAGGGTGGGTGTTTTTCCTTTCTCTGTGGGTGGGGGGTCAGCGTCACTCAGCTCAGGTGAACACCTCCCGGGAAAGCCCTCAGCATTTCCTGGACTGTTTTCCACCGAAGATTAGGTTTTGTTTTATATATATTATATTTATAAAATCAGCTCGCAGCATTTCCACCGGAACACCGTGTGTTCACGAGTACAACAAAACCGCGACACGTCACCTGACTGTGAGGGGCAGTGACTGCAGCAACTGCACCTGTCCACGCGCACCACGGCCCCGACCTACCCAGGACTTCAGAGTCCGCATGTCAACCCCTTCAGACGGTTACGTGTATAACGAGCATCAAAAATAGGTAATTTGCGCAAAAAAAAATCTGTATTAATCACACGCAGGTGGAGGCGTGAGCGGACCTCAACCGCGCACGGGGGGGGGGTGGGTCCTAAAATCACAGAATTGTCTGAGTCAGCTTCAGGTGTTTGTAACTTATTATAAATAACTTCTAAATTTAACCAGGTGTTTCAATGCCTTTAAATTACACAATAATTTTAGTGGAGAAACTTGTCAGTTTGGTTTAAAAAAATCAGTAAAAATTGTCTTTTTTTCCCTCTGCTATAATTTTTTTAAATAAATATATCAAAGCTCCTCAGTTGAAAACACTAAAATGATAGAAAAGATGTTTAAAAACCTCTTTCCTCAGAAAGTCTTCAGTCCTAAGAACACTRAACTGTAACTTTTAATAAGATCATGTACACAGTTTACTCATATTTAAATGAAAATGTTTGACCTGTAAGCAGAAAGTGTGTGGGTGTTGATTTTTGCTCTCTATTTCAAAGAAGAGGAGGAGGAAGTTTTACGCAAGCAGCTCCTGAAACTGTTAAACTGCTGACTGAGAACATTGTAGTAAACTTTGTATACAGGATCATATAGCCTACTTATTAAATTACATTTTTAATGAGATTTTTGCAGACAACCACATTTTGACCCACCACCACGGTTAAAAGAAAACCTAGGAGAAACCCTGAAGATGTTTCTTAACTTGTCAGTATTTCAAATAGAAAACATTGCAACATAATAAATATAATATAACATTTGCTTGATGCAACATGAAGCTTTAACTTACTTGCTCTCTTCTTCCTCTTTTGAGTTCTTCTTGGGTTGATATTTCTTTGATAGGTTTCTGTAAAGACAAACATTTCAGATTGTCAGACCATTTAGACCTCCCGGAAGTCCCTCTTAAGCACATTCAGCACCGCGGGAGTTTTTTCTGATCCCCTTTATCAAGGATTCAAGGAGACTTTATTGTCACACGCATCACATGTTAAACATGAGGTGGAATGGTCCAATAAACACCAAGACTTAAATCCCCTCCTGCCTTCCTTTCTGTCCCTGTTTTGACCCAGGCTGTACGTTAGTGGATCCAGATAAGGGTGAGGAAGAGAGACAAAATAAAAAGTAAACAGAGTTGAGCACCAGATAACAGATTTGTGGTGACTGAGAGCTGCTTGGATGATAAAACAAACTGTCATCATTCTGGTCTCTTTTTGTTTCTCGTTTTGAACTCCTGCAGCGTGATATGATGTAAGCTACAATACAAGTTCTTTTAGAAAAACACAGTCTGTCAGCAGAACGCAATACTGTAAACAACACTCTGATAGATTTATAATGTACAGGCTTTCAGGATCCTTTGTGTAGTCAAAAATAAATAATCAGCACAATAAGTAACACAAATTCAATGTTAACTAAGGTAGAGTAAATCTGATTATAGTGCATTTTAAAATGTGTTTTGTGTGCTGACTACACCACACAGATCGGATAGTTTTTAACCTGTTTTATTTTTTTCTGTTCAAAGTGTCTCCTTCCAGTCAAGACTGCAAAACGTTCAATTAAAGTTGAATTGCCTGAGTTTCATACCAGAGTTTTGTAAAAAGTACAAATGACCGAGTTCTGGTTTTTATCCAACCTTCAAACAATTAATTTAAAAAAAAACTAAGCAAGATTTAATATTGCAAAATTTTTGTGAGATCTGCTGGTGTTCTGACTTTCTGTTGAGGATGACTCTCAACTACTTCCACATCCATTCTGAGTTTAATATAAGAACATTTGACTAAGTTGTGACCATTTTTGAGTTTCAAAATGTCAGATTAGTGGCCAGCTTGAATCAGTTGTACAGTCGACAATTGCATTCTTACTGTTTCAATCAAATCTGACCAGTAGTCCATTGGATATTTTGCTAGCAGACAAACAAACACATGCATAGCCATGGCAGGGGCGGTTCTAGGGGCGTGGCCACAGGGGCATTGGCCCCTGCTGAAATCTGATTGGCCCCCTGAAGTGCCCCTGTCCTGTAGGATTGGGCATAATCGTATCGTGTGCAATTAATCGTCAGAAAAACATTAATCGATTAATTTTTGGCACTTGACGATTAATACGATTAATGCCACCAGGCAGACTAACCGCTTGGTGCTCCTCTCCCCTCCAAACATGATGAACATTAAAAAAAGAAGTTCTGTAATTTATTTATCTATCAACACAATTTAAAGTTTGATGTATAGCCTGAAGTCTGTAATTCTGACACAATTTGGAACAGGTTTTTACGAAGAGCCAATTTTCTCCCTATAAATTGGTCATGTGACTATGATATAAGGGTGTCCAGGGACTCTGGGGGATTAATCTTCAAATTAATCGTTATCGGCTAAATACAACACATTAATCGTGATTAATTTTTTTGCCAATATTGCCCAACCCTACTGTCCTGTCACTCATCTGTCCTTTGGCTGAGAGCAATGATGGTGGGTGCAGTTCCATGCCCAAACACTAGAGGCGCTAATGAGTCAAACTGTAAATTCCAGCATGAATCAGTCTTACAGAAGTCTTCTCTTCTTTAAAAGACTTGAACAATTTTGCAAAAAAAATATCTTTCAACTGGCAAACAATGGCTTCATTTTCTCACATACTTTGGGAATATTTTATCCATGTACAGTTAAAATGCATGTAACATTAATAAGGAGAATTTAAAGTGCCTGAGACATTAAAATTTTGTAATAAACATGAATGCATTTTTGAAAACATAACATTGATAACATATTGAAAACAAATTTCATGCCCCTGAGATGAACAGTTGTTGAGATATTTGCACATGAAGAATCAGGAAGTGATGTCAAAGGGGAATGTCTGCATGTAAACAGAGCGTTGTTACAACAGCTGATAACACAGACTGTAGAGACAACTCTGATGTTTTTTTAGGTTATTTTGAGTCTCTATCAAACACAGATGATGAAGAGTTAAAGTTTAAATTATACCGTTTTAATAAACAGAGACCACAGAGTTAATTTTATTAATGAGTTCCCCTTTGATGTCACTTCCTGTTTCACTTTGGCTGAGCCAAATTCAAAAGACAATAGGCCAGTTATGTAACAAAATGGGTAAAAATCATGTTTGTCATACCAGGTTTCTTAAGTGTAAAGATGTTTTCTTTGAGGTTTTGTATTTGAAGGATATGCATGTCACAGGAGCTTTAAGCTTTTTTAATAACATTACATTAGGTTACAATTGTTGGAACATATGTGACCGGTTAAATTTATACACCTTACCAAAACCGAGAATATATGCGCAAGGCTGTTGAACAATTTCTTGACCCCTCTATGAATATTGTGGCCCCTTGATGGCCCCTTATTCAGAAAAATCCTAGATCCGCCACTGAGCCATGGTGAAAAAATATAAAAATAATTAATAAAATACTCCAAAATCCCCATGTAAGAGTACAATTTGGCAAGAAGATGCACATTATTCATGCATAAAGGTGCAAAATAAACTACAAAAAAGTCAAGACATCCTGAGAACAAGATTTCTCAAAACGTTTTACTTTGATATCAGGTATGATATCCTCTCAGTCTTTAACCTTCTCTGCGCCCAGATCAGTCAAAATATCAGATTGAGAAAAACAAGAAAAAAGGTTATTGTAGTTTTTTAGTGTATGGTCTCCAGATGACATCACCCTTCAACCAAACTCTGTTTTCCTTCTTGTTACAACAGAATCCCAAATAAAACTTTAAAACTATTTTTTTAACATCGGAAGACATTTATAAAAGTCTTCCAGGGTTTCCATATAATTTCTTATGCATTATTCCTTACTTCTCCGGACTCAATTTTCAGATTTGTCTGTACATTTATGGACTGTTTTCCATTTAGTAAAATGTTTTTATTGTTGCTGTTCATGAGTCCAATGTTTACAAAGAAAATCAATATTTTATTCATAGTTTGAATGTAGAGTCTGAGTTTGAACATGTTGTCAGAGATTAAGTGTAATTCCTTCCAATTTAAATTAGGTTTTGAGATTAAAAAGACTGACTGTAAGGTGGATCTGCAGAGCGCTCCATCCCCCCTCTGGAGTTCAGGCTGTTGCTAGGCAGATTTATGCTCGCTGTCCTTCTCACCTCATTACTAATTATAGCACCACGTCCCGGGCTTTTACTCACAACCACTTGGCATTTTTCAGATACTACTCTCTGTTTGTTTAACCTAGTTTTTTTATTTATTTATTTATTTTTTACAAGAACTGTGTTTTTCCAGAAAACATGGACCTTTTGTTTCTGCACGTGTTTGTAAAGGTTTTGCAAGATACTGAATAGAGGAACATAAACGTTCATAATGGAATGGAAGACCGTTTTCATCCTTTCACAATAGTTTAGTAAGCAGGACTTTAGCCCCACTGTGTTATGGATTATATCTGACTGGAATCTGGGGGAGGAGGATGCATTAATGAACCACCCTGTAGTGAGCAGACCAAAGCATTGTACATGTTTACACCAGTGCAGGAGAAGAGGATTATCCATGGATTAAAGCAGTATGGAGTAGTGTGAAGGAAGGATGTAAGAGAGGGGTAAATACTCATTTATTTGATGGGATGGGATGAATTTTTTATTTAGTTATAACTAAATATTTAATTGAACTGTGTTCTAGCTGCAGACCTCAGTTGTAAACAGGTGATCAATTTTAGACCCAGATCTTTATTATTGAAATACTTTCTCAATGATTCAGTTTAAATAATCCACATCTTCACCTGTTTTATTTTGTTTTTTGTTTTTTCCCTCACATCAAGGGGAGCTGGTGCCCATGTCCAGCAGTCATTGTATGAGAGACAGGAGACACCCTGGACACGTTTCTAGTCCATCACAGGGACACATAAACAAGACACACAACCATACACACTCTAGGGGCAATTTAGACCAGTGAACCTCTCTAACCTCACCAAAGTCCAAGTTTTATATCTTTTTAAAGGGACCCATGATTAGTTGTAACATTAGACTTTATTTGATAAAAATATTTTTTATCTGTAAAATAAAGACTAAAAATACTGTAGGCTGTTTAGTTTTTATAATTTTTAAATTAAACGTTTAAAAATATATTACAGGGACAGGTCCATTTTATTTACACGCAAAGCATTACATTAGCCCCGACACTATCACCATATATATGTATTAGCTCAGCGCTACACATTCTCCTCTCATCACTGAGGTCCTCCATCCACATGACAGAGAGGGGAACACAAAAATGACTCAGTCTGCAACTGAAAATATAGATGGAGGACCTCAGTTTAGCTTATTAGCTTGTCGTGTTAGCGCCGAGCTAATACATATAAGGCAATTTAGCGTCGGCACTAGCGCAAAGGCTAACAGGCTAAGCTGAGGTTCTTCTTCCATGAAGCAGCTCTGTTGTCCTCCATCTATATTTTCAGTTCCAGACTGAGTCATTTCTACCTTCTCCTCTCTGTCAACGCTCTCTGGTTTCATTTAAAAGAGTCGATCATCAGATATTGTCCAAGATTAACCTTCAGGGTGGATATAGCTCACTCACACAGAGGACCTATCCACGGCATCATTTACCCAGAATGCTTTGCGTGTAAATAAAATGGCTTTATCTGTGTTAAAATATATTTTAAAAATTGACAAAACTAAACAGCCTACAGTATTTTTACAGTCTTTATTTTACAGTTAAAACAAATGTTTATCAAATAAAGTCTAATGTTACAACTAATCAGGGATCCCTTTAAAGCTCTGCTGCTTTTGGACTAAACCTGAGCTCATCAATTAAAAATGGATATTTAGTTTAGAGACATGTGTCTGAATACTTATAAATTCTTACTCTTTTTCACCAATCTTCCACCTTTTTTTCCGGTTT